TGTTTTTGGCGCAAAGTCTTCAGCGCGTTCTCCATTCACACGTCACCGCTGTCTTAACAAACGCAGCTGACCATTGGCAAAATAATTAGTGACCACTGTGTTTCCAAAGCGAAGGTCAGTTGACCTTGAGCCCCTTTGGAAACAGTAAACCAAAGGCGTCTCGTCTCGCGCGAGGTTGCGGCAGTCGTTCGCATGGGCTCAGGTAGATGACGGTTTCTTCGCGTAACAGCCGCCAAGTGATTCAGAACGACTAAGAAGCTGAAACAGAAAAACACGGAAAAACATTGATTCATATGCTATCTGTCGATCGATCTGAACCAAGACGAACCATGGCACCAAACTTCTTGAAAAACTACCGTCGAGTAGTCGAGACTCACCAGATGTCGTCGCCGATGGTCAGTAAAACTAGTACTCCCTTCTTTTCCTCCAACCGACCACTTCGCCGGACTCTTTGGACAATGGATGTCTGTTATTCCATGTCCGAAGTGGAGCATCAAAGATCCCTTTGCAGATAGCCTAGCACCACCGGCGGTACCAGTTCTCGTGACATATTTTCTCTCTGCGGCCCAAGTCTATCCGCCGCCGCTCTGAGGCACCTCGAGCAAGTGTAGTCGAGACGACGCCCATCTCAAAGCGCTTTCGGTCATTTGGCGATCACCTGTTGTCTTCGTCTGTAGAAAGGAAGCCTCACTCGGCAGAGAACGCTGACGGCATGACGTACAATTTACGGTTACTCTCTAGTGTTATCCTCGATTTCAAGCTGTGTGAACGGCGTATTCAGCGCTTTCTCATTCTTTTACTTGGTGTCTTGCTGAGAATACCAGCCCATAGCAAAATTGTTTCTAAGATTTAGCTGGTAAATGATTTTCTGTTCGGTGTGACTAGATTCTTGCAGTATTCGACCATGAGTCTTTGAAAGTAAGGAAATTGAGAAACAAGTTGTTGTAAGGCACGTTAATCGATCTTCACGTCTTTTCAAAGGATTTCAGTAGTTGCCTGTAGCATGAGAGTAATACTTCAGCAAACTTGCTTCTGCCTCATTAATATTCCAGCTTTCACACTGCAGTTGTAGCTCTATCCAAATCAGCACTTTCTCCCTTTGTCGAATCTCACAAAAGAGGTAAGGAATCTAACAATTATACCCGCACTGTTGTGGGCATGAAAATATCGATGTATAGAAGTAAGGCACGTTACATTGCCAGATTCTCCATCTTGAACTTCCCTAACGATAAAAGAATGCCATTGTTTTATCTGTTTTTAATTCTTTGCATCAAACAGTTACAAGATCTTCTGTTCATACTGTCCATGGCTTTTCATGTGTTGAGAGGGTAGACCGTACAATAAAAAACTTTTCATCCTTTCGCTGAAAAGCAGTACCTTTAGAACTTCCACTTTGAAGAGTTTGTCCTTATCCTAGACAGACATGTCTATGAGGTATGTCAATCCCATATCTCAACAGCATGGTTCAAAGTCAAATTCATGGGTCATAACTGATCTTCAATGATAATGACAATACCATTTGTGGCATTTTTTTCTGACAAGAATACAACACGCACTTTTAGAGTGTGCAGCTTTCACATACAGTACAACCTGAGTAATTTAATGTTATGGATTAATGGAAATAATTGTTCAAGTATCAAAAGAGGTTGCGGTTACTCGTGATGGAGAAAGAATTCGATCTGTAAACCAGAATAGCCTGCGTGAACTTGGATCAACCGCTTGTACTGAGTCAAAAATGAGTTCGAAGACGAATCCCTCTGTTAGTTGATCTTGGTGCCGTTATTGAAAAAAGATCCCTGGTACGACCTGGAAACGGGCTCTCTTAGTCGTATCGCTGGGTTCAAACGTCTGGACAGAATCCGGATCCGGAGTGTAGATATCCGAGAAAACCTTAATGTACAACCGCTGCTTCTTCAAACTGAGAAGTGAAGGTGAAATGGCCTGAACACGTTATGCGGATGCTTTGGGGAAAGAAAACAAAACGGTTAATATTTGTTCAACCCACCGGCTGATTACCTCTGTGTAGGCCAAAAAAATTATCTTGACCAAGTGCCTGTGCCTCGATTGAGTTTGCTCCACGCTCTGAATATTTTCTGCCGAAGTTTAGACCCTGGCACAGCATCTGGAATGTTGGATACACTGCCTGCCGTTGCAGCCTTGAGACTTGAGAGAATAAGTAACCATCGAAACTGACTGACGGATCTGATTAGCAAAAACCGAATTTCATGCAGGCACATAAAAGTGCTTGGATACTTTGAAAATCATGGCAATCATTAATTATATACAATTCTAACCCTATTATTAATGCACTCATTTCTTATAACTCGAAAAAACTTAGCAAAAAATAATGCTGATAAAACCGAGCGTCGACCTACTGGATCTGTCAACTACTGTCTACCAAGCAGTGTTCAGTACGTGAAACCTGATCAATTTTTGCGGTAACACTTAGGGGAAATATATGGAGACCGAGCCAGCTCCCGTCTTATATACTGAACTCAGCCACATTTTTCGATACCTTATTTGTGTAACGTATAAGCGAACAGATCCTTGAAAAACACCGAGGTTACCGCCAGCGCAGCAATACTGATTTCCTAAAGGACTACTAATTTCTTTAACAATGGCGCATGACCCTTTCAAGAGATGATGCCATCCTTTTGCCCAAAGGTGCCTTGAAGGTCTTTTATGCAAATCGCGGCTCAATGGCGTTCGAAACCTGCAGGGCCAGGTGCATCTTGCCTCAAGTTGTCTGCTACAGCTACCCAGAGCCAAAGTTAATCACGAACAATGTTTCATGAACTGCCATCCCTTATATGCTATCACACGGATACCAAGGTATATTGGTACGCTGTAGTTCGTCGAACAAAAGAACTCCTGGAGTAGTTATGCCCCATTTGACGTTCTGCGGCGCACATTTCTATTATATATGCGATATTATAGATCTATTATTCAAGGATGTGAATTAATTTGCAGTGGGCCAATGACCTCGCCGATGGACAAGTAGAAGGAATTTTCGAAGATAATGTTTCAGGCACCACAACTTTTTTGGAAACTAGAATTGCCCTTGAAAACGGTTTGATAATGCCAGTTATTCCTTTGCTACTGACCTGATGATTAACGAGATTAATTTTTATTCAAAAGTTATTTTTTTGTCACTTAAATTCTGAGTGTTCAGATTTTAACATATACACCTCTAATACTCCCAAGAAACTTTTCACGTAACTGCGACGTAATCTCCATCGTGTTTCTGAGACTTTCAACAAGCAACATGCACGCTTTAGCTCATCACTTTGATTTTTTTGTGGTATAAATTTAGAGATGCCTAAAAAATGCATCTCATCCAGCTGTTTGCACATAAGTTTCATTTGTGAAGCCACAGCTAAGGCTTCGTTCGTTGAATCCGCGCTGTTATGATTCGGTTTATGAGTAGGTGGCCGTACTGGAGACTGCACAAAACAGGCTTTATTTGGACGCAATGCAGACAGCTCGGCCATTCAGACGATTGACCGGCACCAACGTTCGCCTTCTGGCCGCAAACTTCCGAACCGCTGCCGATGATGACAAATAATAAGAGGGACTTTTGGAACGTAGTCAGAATTCTTTACCTTGAAGAAGGTCCGTGAGATTTGCGCCAAAGATACACAGGGAGAAGAGCCGAGAAAGAATCCTTACATCACTACCTACCATACGACCAGCTTTTGGTCTAGATCAATCATGTTTCAGGCACTCACTCGGCTTAGTGCAATAAAGACTTTCAAGACTGAAACCTGTATGATGGCGGAGAAATGAATTTGTCAACTCCGTAGCATTTGTTTTATTTATTTGTCGTTTACACTCTAATTTACACTTGAATTTTATTTATTTATTTAGCTGTTAAATAACATCAGCTGCAAGACGCACGCACTAGACAGCATGGCCTTGTGTCTGTCATGCTTTGAAAAGACCGTACCATTGCATATCGCTTACAGCCAGAGGCTTGTTGTGTCGACTGGCTGCACCGTCGCTGAAGGTCGGGTGAATTCCACGGTCGGCAGAACTTGCAGTTAATAAGAGAGCATCTGCAAAGCGAAAGCAGGCAATTATTCCGTTGCGCCATTTTTTTTCATCACGTGGCTTCACGGAAATTGTGCATCTGAATTATTCCGGAAAAGCTTATGAAAACATCGACAAATCAGACGACTACGAACGATTCACGTTTCACCCCGAGATGGGGTTATGTTTGCTGGTCAGCCCGTACTCCGGTGATAATATGGGATCCAGTCCGATCTTCCACGGCTTAAATAAATACTTGAATCAGAGACGGCTTGAGAATCCCCAGTGTCATGCGCCATCGATATTGCCGAAAAGTTAATCGGTGCTAGTTTTAGGTGCCATTTCCACTGATTAAAGCGGTAACTCTTCGAATGATTGATTGATTTGAATACCAGTATTCGGTCATTCGAAATAATGTTACCGAATTCTTAGCATGGAAATGAATAATATGCCTTTCTCATATCATTCTGCACTGAGAAACAAACAGGGCTGCTCAAATTTATGCACAAACAAACTGAGTCATTCACTTTCATCGACTCTCGTCATATCCTGCCAATATTTCGACCACACCCTGACCAGACCTCACATTCAGTACGCTTTGGACTACCGTAAGAGAGAAGATTCAAATTCGCAAGTAAAAGAATCAACAAGTTTCACTGAAATGAGCTCGACTAAAAGGAAATGCAGTGTATAGAGAGGTAGTGCTACTTTGAGCATTTGCATATACCGCATCAGTGCATAGATATATAAGTAGTCCTGTCGTTGAATTCTCTAATCTTTGGGAATCGTAATGATAGCGAAACTCGAGAATGAGGGCTGGAACCTCCATCGAAACTTGGTCCAATGAAGACAAAAATTCGAGTGCGAACATTTAAAAGAAAAACGGTTTTCCATAATTGTTCCAGACTAAACTGCACTACGTCTTCACCGTTCTCCGTTTCTTTTACGCCTAACGAAACGTAGCTTGAAAACGGTTTTGGAACTTTGGACTCCTTTCAGATGTGTGATCAGTTTTCTTACCTTTTTGGGCACTCAATGGATAAATTAATTTCTTAGGCATTTTACGATCTTAGGTGATAAATGGAGTGTGCAGTACTTGTGTGCCTTTTATCATCATCCGTTGAATCCGACGCCTAACAGTGCCTTTGTCTAGTACTTTACCACAAAACTGCCAATACATTTTCCATGTATCTTTTACACTATTTACTCAATCGATGATTTCAGGTTTACTCGGAGTAACTCACCGCCACCTTGCTTCTAGACGTCTATTTCAAAGATGCTGCCCCTGCATCTAACGTGCTTCAGTGCTAAAATACCATGGGGCCGCAGATTGT